GGCTATTGAGTCATATGAATTCTTATCTATTTTGGATATTAACTGTTTATCCAACATGTGATTTGCAAATACTCTCCCCCATTTCATAGGCTGCCTTTCATTTTGTTGGTGGGTTCCTGTGCTGAGCAGAAGCTTTTTAGTTTTAAGTTTATTTTTACTTTTGTTACCTTTGCTTTGGTGTCAAATTAAAAAAAAATCATCAGAAAGACCATTGTCAAGGAGCTTACTCACATATTTTCTTCTCACATATTTTCTTCTAGGAGTTTTATGGTTTTAGGTCTTATGTCTTTAATCCTTTTTTTTTCCTATGAAGTGACTGGGGATTGAACCCAGGACCTCATGCACATTAAGCATATGCTCTACCACTGAGCTATACCCCCGACACCCTCCATTTTTGAGTGAATTTCTGTGTCTGGTGTAAGTGGTCCAGTTTGATTATTTTGCATGTGCCTATTCAGTTTTCTCAACAGCATTTATTGAAGAGACTGTCCTTTCCTCATTGTATATTTTAGGTCCCTTTGTTATAAATTAATTGATCATATACGCATGGGTTTATTTCTGGCTTCTCTATTCTGTTCCTTTGCTCTGTGGGTCTCTTTATGTCAATATCAGACTGTTTTGATTACTGTAGCTTTGTAATATTCTTTGAGATGAGGACTCATCATGCCTCCAGCTTTGTTCTTTCTCAAGATTGCTTCAGCTATTTGGGTTCCATATGAATTTTAGGATTGTTTGTAATTTTAGGATCTGTTTTTGTTTTAAAAAACTTTGCCATTGGAATTTCAATAGGAATTGTACTGAGTCTGTAGATGGCGTTGGGTAGCATGGACATTTTAATAGCATTAATTCTTCCAATCCATGAGCACAGAATTTCTTTCCATTTATTTGTGTCATCTCCAACACCTAGTGGCTTTCTCTTTCCTCTCTTACTTTTTCTCCCTGCTTCTTCAGAGCATGTTCTACCTGCAAGGTTACCTGCTGCCGGACAACCTGACTGCCCGGGATCTCCCTCATTCCCATAAGTTTGCTGGCCTTTAGACCGCCTTCGCTTGGCTTCTCTTGCCTTTCTGGGGCCATTGCTCATGGGGTGGGTTTTCTGATCCCACCCTCCACATCTCACTGGGCTGCAGGCTGTGCCTGGTGAGTTAGGAGCAAGGACTCGCCAGCAGATCAGAAGTTCCCTGTGCATTGCCGGGTGGGACCTGTCTGCCAGGGGCTGCCCGAGGCCTCAGCTGCCTCCTCTTACAGGAAGTTGCTTCCTTTCTCTGGTCAGTTTCCCTATGGTCTAACATTCCCACCTGCTGCCAGGAGAGGCATGAGCCGGGCTGGGATATTCTGGAGCTGAAGAAGAGAAGGGGACTGCAGGTCTCACTGTAGGGCTTTTTAGGGGGGAGGGGAGATTGCAACAAACCCCACATGCCCTCAGTTGAGCCTGGGTTCCCTGAGGCAGCAGGGCCCTTCCGTGCAGGCACATACCATTTTTCTCTGTCACTGGGACAGACACGTGACTCCTCCACGGTGCCAGGCTCTCCTGCTCCTCATCTTGCCCCTGGATGGGTGATGGGGCTTGCTTCTGTTTTTACACTTTTGGGGTGTTTGGTGGACCCTGCTCCACAGCAGGCCTGCCATCAGTGGCCGGCAGACCCCAGCCGCCTTTCCTCCACCTCCACACCCGAGCCGACCCGATCTGGCTAAGCCACCTGAACCCTGCCCCCCACCAGTCGCTATGAGCCTCTGCCTTGTTCACCAGCTTGAGTCATCCCACCCCTACCCTCCCCACGCTGTCCTGCATCCGTCCCTCCCTCGGCTGCCACGAGCAGCCCTGGAAGAGCTCCTGGAGGACATGGTGGGAAAATCCCTCTCTAGACAGCCTCAGGCAGACACTCCATCCGCAGGTGCCCACCCCACCCCTCACATTCCCAGCCGCCACCTGGCTGGCCCCTCCTTGCTCCTCTCCCCACCCCAGTGACCTCTCTGTGCCCTTGTT